AATAGCTCCACGGTTACAGTTGTCCACATGGATACAGGTTTCCCGGCTACAATGCCTTGCAGAGATAGGTAACTTTATTTCCCGGCCTCTATGAACGGGTTCAATTGAAAGGCTACAAAGAACCTTTGAGATACGTCCTGAATGAATCTGTTGACTGGTCGATTGTTGAGTCCTGTTCGGGTTTGACTTGTGCAAACCAGATGTTGTTGTCATTGCCATCGAAGACTTTAATGATAAGACCCATCGGTCACATCAAAGGCGGGATGTTGTCCTTTTCGACAATAACAACGTCTCCAATTTCGAATTGTCGTGATGGCGAAGTCGTCTGTTTAGCTTTTTGTTGCAAAGAAGTAGTATTCTTCTTTTCAATGTTTCCAAAATTGTCGAACTATGTTGTCGAAAAATGGCTTTGATTTGTCGACTAAGCGATGACTTCTTGTCGTGTGTCGAACTCGGCATTGCTGTCAGTGGTCGTCCGATGAGAAAATGTCCTGGCGTTGAAGCGAGTGCATCGTTGACGTCATTCATTCGATGGCGTAACAATTGGTCTTGAACTGAGGATGGCCTGAATTTGTGTCAGAACTGTCGGAAAATGATGAAGTTGTAGTAGCGCTTCCCAACTGTTCAGTAGAAGTGTCGTTTCAGCAATTTTACTGCCACTTCCCGTGATCCTCCGAAGTGTGGCACTCTGAGTGGAATATTTTACAATAAAACTGAGTTGTCGTTAGAGAAGGTGCTGAATATTTCTTTAAATTCTTCGTTCATCATCAGATTTTGGCATCCTATTTCACCTCGCGAGCCAATAAAAGTCATCTAAATGTCACTGAAAAAGCTTTTGGTAATCATCTTCTGGCGCAAAATCGTTCTACATCGTCTAAGAAATCGTCCTTTGTGAGAGAGTTGACGGCTTCCATGTGAACTGCTTTAGTTGCAAAGCAAATGAAGATACCCAAGTATACTTTATTTTTTTGGCTGCTGCTGTCTTTGATGTAGAGAGGTCCATAAAAATCGAGTGCTGTGTTATTAAAGGTGAAAGATTCTACAATTCTTTTAAGAGCAAATCTCCCATCTCTGGTTGAAGAAGCCTGGCGTCCTATCGAATGCAAGGATCGCAATTATGAAAAGCTTGTTCGGCCAACGCTATACCTCCTGGTTCCATACCGTTTGTCGAAGAATAGAGAGTGTCATCCGTCGACAGCTATGAAACGATCTATCATGCGCTTCCCTAATGAGCAAATTGTTGATGGGTGATTTCCTGGGAATCAACACGGGAATATTTTTTGTTGAACATGCGAAGCATCCTCCTGCACGAATGACGTTGCTCTCATCGTCGAAGATGGGTGAAAAGCTCAGAAGGTTGCTTTTCTTTGAAATACGTTTCCCTTTCTGCCTTTCTGATAAGTTGAAACTCGGCATGATGATGCTGCTGAATCAAGCTGTACAGAGTCGAGCGAGCTTCCGTAACTTCTACGGCTGAAAGTTTTTCAGCTATAGGCATCTGATGCAGTTCCTCTGAGTCGTTGTCGTTCCCTTGAATGAACTTCACTAAGCTTTCATTGTCATGAGTCGTAAGTTTAAATGTCGATGTTTTCGCTCCCTGAGTTTCTGCTCTACGAAATAGTTGCCTTTGCGCAATTAGCGATTGCGGCGAAGTCTGCAATTTAGCTCCCCAAAGCAGATGCTATCCAACCCCGTACCTTTACTTCTAATTTCCCTACCTGTACCTTTACCAGAACGACAATCAGTGGCGCTAACAGAAATCGCGCTTGTATCCAAATCTTTACCCACACCTGTTCCATCATCTAGTCTTGTACCTGTTCCTTTTTTAGCATCCAGTAATAATGCGTTTTAGTATCCATAACTTTATCAATAACAACCATTACGCAAATACCTGCCCCTGTACCAATGCCTTCCTAGGTTTCCTTGCGTTTTTCCATTGCGTTTTTCCGATTATTCTCAGTACCAAAACCTTTTCCTGTACCAACACCTGTTTTTGTACGATAACCTTCCCGGGCATTATCGCTTTCCTCTGTCAGCAAACCTATTGTTGTGCCAATACCATCTCGGGTACTAATACCTCCTGTAACAGTTGACTACGCTACGTTTTGAAGTGCAGCTTGAAAATCCAGTCCTTGTTGTCCTTTTGCTGGTTTCTTGTCGCATATACACGGCAGCTGCATAGCCTGTAGTTGATGCGTCACACAAAACAAAAATGAGGACCTTAGGTTTTCTCAGGTACACAGAACTCGTTTAGACAACTTGTACCTTCCAATTTTTTTAGCTGCTGTCGAAGGCGTCCAGGGTGTTCCTGTAGTGTGAATGATATCATTTGATCCCACGAGATCTTGTCCATCAACATGAGTAGTACGAACGAATTCAGTTGAACCGTCATAGGCGAAAGCCATCCAAGGGGGTCATAGAGTCTCGTGACTAGAGAGTATTTGTCGTTTGATCACCGGAGACTGTTCGGTTAAGTTAACTGTAAGACAAAAATGATCTGGCACAGGGTTTCTTTTGATTCCAAGACTTTTGATGACATACTCGTCACTTGTCATTATCATTTTGTCTGCTGCTTCTCGATAGTGCCCTGGGAGTCGTTCTACTAGCTTTGTGTCGTCTGATTTCCAAGTGTGACTTTCAAATCCAGCAGTAGCAAGTGTATTGATGAATCCGTCCTGTAGTTGAAATGCTGATTCAGTATCTGAAGATCTTGATAGAAGTTCGTCTACTTCTTTGATTGTTGCTATTCTAAAGGAGTCGTCGTCACTATCTTCAGCAAGCACTTGAAGAGATCGTATCGAATGAAAGGCTAAAGAAGCGATTCCATAAGTAACTCGTGGAAAAATCTAAATTGGAGAGAGGCTTAGCACTACCGAATGACCAGAGTTACTTGGGATCGCTTTCGGAATTTTGATTTTCCACAAGATTCAATGATAGTCACTATCTTCTTCTTCTTCTTGTTCCAACTCCACCTGGCGGTACATCTTCGCAATGTCGGCGTAGAGTGCTACCTGATGCATTAGGAAGCGAATCAGAATAGTGAAGAGGTCTTTCTGAACTGTAGTTGCAACCATCAGTTTGTCGTTGACTGATGTTCCAAATGTCGTCTTTGCTGATGCGTCGAAAACCATTCAATTTTTTGTTGTCGTGCTTCAATCCTTCAAATTGCAATGATCAAGCATGAAGAAACGGTTAAAGTGCGGTTGCAGTAAGTCGTTGTCTGGAATTTCCTCCATATGGCCAAGGTTGACAAACTCATTGATGAAGTTATTGAACTTCTTGTAGATCTCAGGGTTTCTTTCAAAACGAAAGTGTAAGCTACGTCTTCGTCTGCGAGCCTGCTGTAGTGAGTCTCCAAGTAGTCCAATTTCTTCTTTGAATTGCAGTTTTACCACAAATCGTCCACCTGGGCCGCGTTAGTTGTTGCTTTGAAATGTTCCTCACCTTTAAGCTCCTCTAAGATCTGCAGTTTTCTTTCTGGAACCTCCTTGATTTTTCAAAAAAGTTGAAAATTTGAATTGCTATCTTCGCTGACAAGAAATGTCTATTGTAGTGAAGTAAGTCTGTTCTGGCTGTTTTTTGTCCGATTAAAAGCCAGCCAAAAACCGACAATCAATAACAAATTGAACCTGTCTGTTCTTTGATTCTGTTGTTTCCAATGATCAGATCCTACAAAAATTGCTGCTCCAATGACCATATCACTTTCCTGTGGATCGTTGAATCCGGGATCGGCCAATTGTATTTTCTTGTTTTTGAGATTGGTTCACTGTATGAGGGCCGGACGAGTAGATGAACTTGTCCCTTGTTATCGCGAACTTCGTTTCCTCCAACTCCGCAAATCCTTGTTGTCTGATTCTGTTTGCGTGTCTAAACGTTGAACAGCTGCTTCTGTTATCAAACTGTTCTGTGATGCTGAAACCTGTACTCGTCGAACATGAACTGTTTCTCTTGGTCTCGAGTGAAATGATGGTAGTTTGTAGAAAAATTTCATCCTGAGATTTTTCATGAGTTGATGCTCCAGTTGACCATTTTTCATCTGTCTTCATTTTTGCTGATTTCTGCTGTGTTGCGTTGTTTAGTTTTCCACAAAAGGTTTCTGCTCACAAGGACGCAAAGTGTTGTGCTTCTGTCCGCATTCTTTGCATCGAAATGGAGAATAATCCTCACTTCAATGTCCACGTTGAAAACAGTTGAAACACAGCTGTTTCACTTTGATGAGTTGAGATCAGTCACTGATTGACAAGTTTTTAAAGATGTTGCATCTGTAGATCAGGTGGTTTTCTGTCCACAACAATCGCGTTCGTCCTTGTGTGAAATACCTAGATTTTTCTGAAGCGTCTTTGGTGTCATGTTACTTCCTTTTTTATCGAGTAGTTCTACTGCCTTAACTTCAATGGTGAACAATTCGCTTTTACACTGAACTCATTTCATAATAATTATGTTGAAATCCTTTTTTAATATTTTTCGTTTGTATTTATTTTTAGGGAAAATCATTTATTTTCAAATATAACCCTCTTCTTTCTCATTTTCGGACTTCTTCTACCCCCACTTGTCTGTCTGCAAACCAGACCCGAAGATCATTTTATAGTTCTAATTTCGACTGTTTCTTCTCATATCACTTTGATTGATATACAACTCTGGAATCGTATACAAAAGAAAGAAAGAAAGATACAAAGGAAATATGAATACACAAAGGAAATATGATTAATAATCTAAACATGATAACCAAGTAAATAAGATCTATTTACAAAGGGACTTCACAGTTCTTTTGCTCCGTCGAGTCCATTGCTAATTATCTGCGCCTACTTGAAAAAAAAATTCAATAATAAAAAAAAAACTCAACAAAAACACTAAAAGACTTAATAAAGAAAAAACTTTTCACGTAGTTTTTTCAAGAATCTAGCACAACAACCGGCTATCCTTCATCTCAAAACAATTCAATTTAAGATGTCGTTCTAAAATAATAGAAAATTTGATTTATAGAAATATGATTTAATCCACAACTTCGAACTCATTATCTGAATCTATAACTATAGCACTCTAATCTACATCAATTTGCATCAATTTTTGAAACTTTTATGGCGAGAGAAAATACATGCTTTTGTCTAAATTACATAATGTGAATTCACAATTTTAAACGTTTCTAGCAATTAAAAGATCATTACGCAGTATACAACTTAATGCTAAAAATAAAGAAAGTGAAGAGAGCACAACTTGAATCCGGCAACTGTTGTAAAACCCGAGAAGATCCAGAATATATCCACCTGTTATACTCTGGCCAATTATTTTTCCGAAGTCAAAGCAAGCCAAGTAAACCGCAGACGCATATAAAGCTATGGTTTCATCGTTCTCTATAGAACTATTTTTTCGATATAGTGATCGCAAAAGGAACACTAAAGGTACAAGGGTTCCTGTTGAGCTCATCGCAATAAAACCGACTATAGCCTCGAAGGATGTTAGTTTGTCTAACATAGGAATACAATCTGAAATTCCAAGAATAGCAAAACCAGTAAGTGAGAAGCCGCATCCGAATAAACAGAAAATTAGACCTCCGTAGCCTTTGTCGGTAAAGAACCCAAAAACGGGTGCCGTCAACGCTCTTATTACCGTAAAAGGTAAGAAAAGTGGACCAGATAAGTTATTCCCCACTCCAAAGTCGATTAAAAGATGTGGCGCGAATGCTACGAAGAAGAACCCTATAGACGATGACGTTACACTTGCGACTGCTGATATAAATATGACATAATAATGCTCCTTGATAGCATAATACCAAGAAATTGATGATTTTTTGAGAGTCTTTGAATTTTGCGGCAAAAGAGGATCTGTAACTTTTTCATATTTGTCTGTTATTTCGACTGCCTGGAGGCTTTTATGAGAAGAAGTTTTGGTTTCCTCATCAGAGCACAGTGATTGCGTAATAACTATGTAGGCCAGTGGACCCAAAACTATCTGCAAGGCGCCAGCTACCAAATAAGGTAACTTGAAGCCTCCAAGTGTAAACAGCAGGCTGCCAAAAGGAGATCCACAAATCATCCCCAAAGACAAAGACATAGCAATAGATCCACAGACTCTTCCGACATGGTCAGGGTACATAGATATTAACAAAACAGATCCGGAACACCAGACAAATGCAATTCCACATCCGAGTAAACCCTTTAGAAACAGACAGGAGGTCTTGAAAAGGAATCCAGGGTTCAGTTCTATAACCTCGCCAAAAGGTAAGCAACTGACTCCTTGAAGTAAGGCACCTATGGGTACAAGTATGATAGTATGGCGTAGTTTAAAAACTCAGGAAACGGTATATCATTTGTTATCTTTTTCGTTAAAAAATGACACAAACAACCAGACCCATCTTTTGTGCATTAGTTTTCTAATGATATCCACTATCATACTTCTACCCACCTATTGAGAATATAGCAGGGCGGTAATTTTTGGGTAATTTGATCAACATCAATACCACGCATGTGATAACAGACGTAGCATCGGTGGCACAGCTAACAACCCCTATAGACGTTTGAGAGATTCCAAGACGGGCGAACTCGCTGGGTAGAAAAGGAGTCCAGAAGGTTTCTTGGATCCCCCACCCAAAATAAAGCGAAAGTCCGCAGACAAAAGCCAAAGGTTTCAGATCTTTATTTGACTTCATTTAAGTTAGATGAAATTGAGAAAATGAAACTCATGTAAATAATTGAGGGTAAATATCATCCAGGAAAGCAACGTACATATTGTTGACAGAACAAGATTCTATCGGTGACAGCTGACCGGCCTCTTGAAAGCCTAAAAGAGAATTCACTCTTTAGAAAAAATGCCATATAAACGGGCGAGGCAGTATATTTCTCCCAACTTGTTATCATTTTGCTAAAAAATTCTGCGCAAAAAATTGCGTGCATGGAGTGGAGTAACCTCCAAGAAAAATCTTATCATACAATTAATCCATTGATCCCCCAGGGTTACCAACACCCCGCCTCTACGCCCACCGGAATAAGTAACTTTGGGGCAGGGGTTAATGTGGGGGGGGGGGGGGGTTGTTTGTGGTGTTTGTAGCAAAAACAAATGAACAAAAGAATAACACAAAAATACGTACGTAGCTTATTAAAAAACGCGGTTGAAATTAAGAATAAGTTCAAGCTCAGCGAGACAACATAACAAGACTGCTCGTATGAGGGCGAAGCCCTGAATGTTCCGACTGCCTTTTAAGGTTTATGGAGCAGTAATAACATTAAAAAATTCAGTGAAAAAAAAAATTAAAAACTTTTTCTAAAATTTGAAATTTTTTTAAATAAAATTATCCCCCCACACGCCATATAAAGAACAAAAGGGTAGATTTCGCTCCCTGTAACAAACCAATTATGGCAAATAAGCTTCGTTAAACCAATTTGGAACGATTTCTAAGACGGATTAACTCTCCGCTTACGCATTATTAGCGCGAAATTTATCGCGCGTTAATTGTCCCAAATTGGCCAAAATTGCAATCTTTAAACCCCCGTAACTTTACGAAAAATGATCACAGGTGAAATATCTATTCAAATTTGAGCTCAGGACAACAATACCTTTCGTATGATATAAAATTTGCGTCAAAAATGGCTAGTTAAAAAGTCGAAATTTGTCTGAAGAAAAAAAAACCCACCCCGAGCACAAATATTCCGTTACTTTCGTACCGAAAGACGGAACAATAACTAACTTAAGCTTAAACTTATTATGAACAAATTAAAATAGCACACAAAAAGATAACTACTACTAAGATAGTTTTTGTATGTACATGACTCTGCCAGATCAAGTGCTATTCAAAATTTCAAAGTTAACATTTCTTTGGCCAAAAATTTTGGCTTTTGAAACAAATTATAAATAATGTGCGAAGTATAAGAAAAAAGATCAGAACTTAGCAAATCTTGTGATACAGAGGAAAAAAACAATTACAAATGAACAAATACCATAAATTTTTTTCATAATTGTCATCAAAATATACCGAAAAATTTCATGTACTAATAATATAGAAAAAAACATGCAAAATTAAAGCCAAGCGAGCACCAAAGCAACTCAAACTCATCAAAAAATTTTTTTGCGGATCTACTGAACATTTACCCCCTATTACAAGAGGGGGGGGAGTTGTTAAGTAGGTTCAGCTAGCAATTTACTAGCAAATTAGTCGAACTTTCACCCAATCAGAATGCAGCAAATTCTGAAACCGAGAAAGTTCTAATTGGTAAAGATGTTACATTTAGCAAACAAGCACGTAAGATAAACTTAGCAAATGAGCACGTAAATTATAGGGGGGGGGGAGATTCTTAAGGAGGTACCTTAGGGGGGAAATTGTTAAGTATATCCATTTTTGCTTTTGAACATATACAACCTTCAAAATCACTTGTGTTTTCTCCTGAAAATCAAATAATGTAAAAAAATAGCGTGTAAAATACGAACTAACAATTGAAGACTGGGAAAACGAGCTCAAAATCAGCAGGGATAACAGCATATCCATTTCAACAACGAGCAAGATAAAAAGATGAACAGAAGAAAAACACTTAGTTGGACTATTCTTAGCTTCGGGAAAATTTTTGTTACTTCAATAACTCTAACTCTTCTTGTCGTGCCTTAGTTTATTGACACTTAGCCTCACTGAGAACACGATTCACTGAGAACAAATAGCCGAGCAAACAAAGCTCGATCTGTATTTTGCGGAAATTTTTCATAAAACACTACTGAAAGGTTGCCGCAAACCACGTTGAATTGAAAAATATTGGAACGTGATCCAAACTATATATTATTATTGGTTATAAATTATATATTTTATCCCTATAAAATATTAAAGACTAACCAATCACACTCCATCTAACTAGCAACCAATTTAATTGTAAGTGCTGAAAATACTTGTAATTTAAGCACCAGAGCATTCTGAATTTAACTTACAACTTAGTTGCCTTTTCCAAGAGACCGACTCGTAACAAACGAGTATACTCTAGATCTATTGAGACTAAGAGATATAAGAGTAAGATTAAGGTCGGTATTAGACTAAGAAGTTGCACGAATCTATTCGGCCGAAAATAAGAGAGCGTGACGAGCAGACGGTGTACCCTATCTGAAATTACTCTATTTCCGTCTCAATTTGATATCAGTTTGATATACCATTGAGTTTTTTTTGGGGTGGGGGGCAAGTGGTAACGGTCTCCGGAAATTTAAATGGCCCTATCAGAACTCGGAAACTAGCGGCTTTATTGGGCTCAATAGTATTTTAGTATGTTGTAGGCCTAGTTGAAGGAATCTTAAATTTGGAACCCCAGACCCCTAGAACCCCCACTTCCGGTTTTAAACTCTTAGTGAAGAAACCCACTCCTAACTTCCGGGAGTCGTTTCTCAGCCTCGAATGATTGCAGGGAGCTGAAACTTGGAGAAATGATAGGTAGTGGCAAGATACATAATAATCTAAATAACAATGATAGGTGTTATAAATTAAAATAAATCCGGCGGTTGGACCTGAAGCTATTAGCACTTGGAAAAACACCCCTTGGACCGGTAATACGCAGTTTACGTAAAAAAATGGCCTGTGGCATAATGATTTTATTGCGGCAATCGACATAAGATAAGAACCCCGGAAAAACACCCCTTGTGAGTGAAAACCCTCCGGCGACTCCTTCCGGTGTTAAGAGCCTTTTTCCAGAAAAAGTGATAATGGACCTAGAATTGTTATAACCAGTGATGCATTAATGGGATATGGATGGAACTTGGTAGCACCGCCATGGGATTCTGAACCAAATATGGAAGTTTGACCCCTGTTGACCCCTGGGTGACCTTAAATTGACCTTTGGGCGTTTTGATCCCAAAATTGCCTGGAAAAACCCGAGATTAACACCGGAAAGTGGCGTTTTCCCCAGCACAACCCCTGTAAGTGGGAGAAGATCACTTTTCTAAAAAATTAGAGGGGAAAACTTATATATTGGGAACTTGAGCAGAAGCTGTTAGAGATATAGTTTTATATTGCAACCTTGAAGTAGTAGAGTTAATTTAAAGAAGACTTGATAAAATTGGGATCAGTTTAGTATGGCAAGTGATCTATTATTAGCAATTCAACTTGAGTAAAGAAAAATAGGACCGCAGCATGAGGATTAAGTCTCCTAAATACTCTGAACGGACAGGGACTTCACTTGGCTTCCCGGAGGTGTTTTTTTTCGGTTTGATTTGACCTCTAGTAGACGAACTATCTTAGCCTGATCGCAAGAATGTCGGGATTGGAATGAAAGGCAGATAAAAAATTTTAGATGCTTGGAATGATTTAGCTACCCATGAAAAGGGTCTCCTCCTACCCTTGGGAGGTCGGAACGTTAACGGGATAATTAAAATAGAGACCTTGGGAGGGTCACTGAGTAAACATAGCAAGAATTGGAGGTTGAGTTGAACTCGAGGGCTGAAGTCACTGAGGTCTGGAATTAGTTGAGTAGAATCGTATGATATTTGTTTGCTTGGTCAAATTGTGACACTTACCGCATACCGGGTATCTAATAAGCGTGAAAATATTGATAAAAAGAAACCGAAATTGGCAGGTGGCAGAGTTGACAGGGGGAGAGATATAGTCTTGAAACAAGTGCGGACGGGTAATTTAAGCGGATGCCAGGAGTGATAGGGAATGGCGTGACTTAACAAAAACTGAGTGTAAAGAAAGATAAGTAATTGGAGGATACCGGAGAGCCTGTAAGAGTTAGAACAGTTGTTAGCTACTGTTAAGAGTATTTGGTTCTCAGTCAGAGAAGAGAGCAATTGATACTGAGAGAGAGCATAGTTGGTTCTCAGTTAGTTAGAGAGAACTGTTATCGCTAGCGAATTGAGTAGTTGGTTCTCAAAGTAAGAGAACAATTATAGCAGAAACAGTAGATAGTTGGTTCCCAACAGAGGTTCTCAAGAGAAAGAGAGAGAGAGAGAGAGAGAGAGAGAAAGAGAGAGAGAGAGAGAACAGTTTAACTAGAAGTTAATTGCAATTAGGCAATTTGGCCGATAATTCGCGGACCCTTTCCTTTTGATTTGCTGATTAGATTATAACCTGGCCACTCAGAGCCTTCTGTAGTTAGAAGTATAGTAATCTAATTTAAATTACCATTGGAAATTCTTGCGATTGTATCGAGTAGACAAGACAGCCTGAGAGCAATACGCAGGAAGGGGCAAGCAACATAATACAAGACAGAATATTTTCCACCTACTAATCTTTTCGGGATTGTAGATAGTAGTGGATCTCGGTCGCCCCACTGAATTCACTACCCAAAGGACCACTTTGCGGTGTCGATAGGAAAGAGAGAACAAACCTAGAGAAGCAATCCCCTATATCTACATAAATCTACATAGGCGCTCCTTGTTGGGTTCCTGGAGTTAGCCATGTGTATTGGGGCTCCTGGAGATAGCTGGAAGTGAATTTCATTTAGGCAATTTGGCCGATAAATCGGGGAACCTTTCCATTTGATTTGATTAATAGATAATAACCTGGCCACTCAGAGCCTTCTGTAGTTAGACGTATACTCATCTGAGATAAATTTCACTGGAAATTCTCGCGAATGTATCTAATAGACAAGACAGCCTGAGAGCAGTACGTAAGAAGGGGCAAGCAACAAAATACATTATAGAATATTTGCCACCAATTAACCCTTTCGGGATTGTAGATAGTAAAGAATCTCGGTCGCCCCGTTGAATTCACTACCCAAAGGACCACTTTGCATTGTCGCTAGGAAGGAGAGAATGAACCTAAAGAAGCAATCCCCTAAATCTACATTGGCGCTCCTGGGTGGGCCATGTTCTGGATTGCAGTTGCAAAGCGTATATTGCGAAATGACGACT